TGGCGTCAGCCTAGTTCACAGCAGCCTCAAACTCCTGGGCTCAAGCGATCCTCCTGCCTCAGCCTCCCAAGTAGCTGGGACTATAGGCATGCGCACCGTGCCAGCTAATTTTTTCTATATTTTTGATTAGCCAATTATTTCTTTCTATTTTTTTTAGTAGAGACGAGGTCTAGCTCTTGCTCAGGCTGTTTTCGAACTCCTGACGTTGAGCGATGCTCCCGCCTCAGCCTCCCAAAAAGCTAGGATTGCCAGGCTTTTGATCCTACACAATGAAGAACTTGTAACAAGTGGCATTTTGCAGGTGGAAGAATATGCCCGCATCCTTCCTTACAAAATGTTTTCAGTTGGTAAGCGCTGTTTGTTAGAGCACTTTAGGGTTTCCAGAAATGGAGCAGGAAGTCCATATATGCCTGGACCCCACCTTCCACCCACTTCCCTTTGTTACTGCCATGTTTCCCGCACTTAGGGGCGTTGCTTACAACATTGGAATCAACGTTGATGCACATCGTTAACTGAAGTCCTCAGTTCACCATAGAGTTCTTTTTTTTTTTTTTTTTTTGAGACAGAGTCTCACTTTGTTGCCTAGGCTAGAGTGAGTGCCGTGCGTCAGCCTAGCTCACAACAACCTCAACTCCTGGGCTCAAGCGATCCTTCTGTCTCAGCCTCCCAAGTAGCTGGGACTACAGGCATGAGCCACATGCCGGCTATTTTTCTTTATATACATTAGTTGGCCATTAGTTTCTTTTCTTATTTATAGTAGAGACGGGGTCTCGCTCTTGCTCAGGCTGGTTTCGAACTCCTGACCTCGAGCAATCCGCCCACCTCGGCCTCCCAGAGAGCTAGGATTACAGGCATGAGCCACTGCGCCCGGCCTAGAGTTCATTCTTGATGGTGTCCATTCTCTGCGTTGGGACAAAGTGCAATGACATGTCTCCACCATTATAGGGTCACGCAGAGTGCTTCCACTGCCCGAAACCTCCCCTGTGCCCACCTGTTCCTCCCTCCCTGCCCCCAAGCCCTGCAAGCCACTGATCTTTTACCGTCGCCATAGTTTTGCCTTTTCTAGAACGTGCGATCGTCGGTTTCATACAGTGCGCAACCTTCTTCCACTCGGTAATGCGCGCTGAAGCTTCCTCCTTGTGTTTCCGTGCCTTGACGGCTCATTCCTCTTAAGCACCGAATAATATCCCATTGTCTGCATGTACCACTGTGTGTTTACCCACTCACATACCAAAGGACATCTTGGTGGCTTCCAGGTCTTGCCAATTATGCCCTAAGCTGTTCCAAACATCCGCGTGCAGGGTTCTGTGTGGACATAAGTTTTCAGCTCCTCTGGGTAAATGCCTAGGAGCGCGATTGCTGGCGGGACAGTAAGCGTGTGTTCAGCTCTGCACGAACCTGCCACGCCGCTCTCCAAAGCGGCTGCACCATTTGCGTTCCCACCAGCAATGAATGAAGGTTCCTGTTGCTTCATGTCCTTGTCAGCATTGGCTGTTGGCAGCGCTTTGGATTTGGGCCATTCTAATAGGTGTGTAGGGATATCTTCTTGTTTTAATTTGCCTAAAACTTCAGATAAACATCTGTTGAGCCGCCTCCTAGGTGCTAAGCACGGTTCCACAGTTCCAGCACTGTTTTTGTTTTTTTTTGTTTGGTTGGTTTTTGTTTTTTGGGACAGGATCTCACTATGCTACCCAGGCTGAGGGGCAGTGTCGTCATCATAGCTCACGGCAGCCTCCAATTCCTGGGCTCAAGGGATCCTCCTGCCTCAGCCTCCTGAGTAGCTGGGGTTGCAGGCACATGCCACCAGGCCCAGCTAATATTTTAATTTTATTTTTTTCTCTTTGAGACAGAGTCTGGCTCTGCTGCCTGGGCTAGAGTGCCATGGTGTCAGCCTGGCTCACAGCAACCTCAAATTCCTGGGCTCAAGCAATCCTCCTGCCTCAGCCTCCCAAGTAGCTGGGACTACAGGCATGCGCCACCATGCCCAGCTATTTTTTTCTATATATTTTTAGTTTGCCAATGAATTTCTATTTTTAGTAGAGACGGGGTCTCGCTCTTGCTCAGGCTGGTCTCAAACTCCTGACCTTGAGCGATCCTCTTGCCTCAGCCTCCCAGAGTGCTAGGATTACAGGCGTGAGCCACCCCGCCGGCCTCCAGCACCTTTTTGTACAATGTAAATTCTTTGCCATCTCAGTGCAGTTTGGGTTAGTAGAAGGGAGGCTCTGGTATCCCCTGTTACAGATGGGGAAAAGGAAGGCTCAGAGAGGGACAGCTACTTGCCCAGGGTCACACAGCAGATGGGGGTAGAGCCAGGGCGTCTGTGACTGACACCACAGCACTTCTGTCTGCTGTGTGCCAGGCTCTGTGCTGGGCACCAGGGACATGGTGGGGACCAAGACAGACCCACATTCCCTGACCCCTGCCCCGGCAAGGCTCACAGTCCAGTGGGGGAGACGGACACATAAGGCGTGGGGCTGTAACGGTGTCACCCAGGCAGACCCAGAGGAGGCAGCTGACACGGCCAGGGGGTCCAGGGAGGCTTTTCCAAGAGAAGGGAAAAGAGTGGCCCAGCCGAGAGGAATAGCAAGTCCGGTGGCTCAGTAGAGAGACAGAAAGGTGAGTGGCCAAGAGCATGGGAGAGTCCTGGGTTCTGGGCCCAGCTCTGCCACAGTAGCCTCGAACTCCGGGCCTTCTCTGGGCCTCAGTTTCCCCTCCCCGCCTGGCTGTGAGTTCAGTAAACTCCCCTGTGTTAACGCAGGCAGCCAAGCCTGGCACCTGGGGAGCTGGGGGTGCAGGGCTGGGTTTTCCTTCCTGTCCTGCCGGGGATGGGGACAGCCAGCCACACCAGAGCAGCCTATTCTGCGTCTGGGGGTCGGGGCCCAGGAGGACCCCGCCCAGCCGGGCCCTGTAGGGGTAAAGGCGTCCAGAGGTGCAGGGCCTGGTCTCTAGCCTCGACGTGAAAGGAAACGGCAGGGTGGATGCGGGAGGGGTCTCCTTCCCGCCCTTGCCCCAAATTGGACACTTGAGCCCCGGCCGCCCCTCACCCGCTCTGCAGCCCCATTAGTGAGGCCGCCTGCTGCGAGCCTGGAAGTCCCGGGTGCTGCCCGCCCACTCTCTGCCCTGCCACTGCCGTTAAACATGAGTAATGAGCCGGAGAGGGCGGGACCTGGAAGGTGGCTGCAGGGGAGGGGCGGCAGAGAGGCCCTGGGCACCTGGGGATCCCAGCAGGAGTCACCGCCCTGGAGCCACCAGCACGCCTTGTGCTCTTACTTAACCTCCTCATTGCCTGCCCTGCCCCGGCCCCCAGCACCTGCCTGCCCAGGAGCTCCACCCCCCCACCCCACCCCACCCCCGCCTAGCTGCCATTTAGCAAAAGCTGCAGGACTTGCTCAGCTCCATGGTGCGCGCCTGTATCTACTCCGGAGGCTTAGGTCGGAGGATCGCATGAGGCCAGAGGTTGGAGGCTGCAGCGAGCTGTGATCATGCCACTGCACTCCAGCCTGGGCGACAGAGCGAGACCCTGTCTCTATTATAAAAGAAAAAAAAAAAATACAGGATGCCCAGTTAAGTTTGAAGTTAAGACAAACAATGAATGCTGTTCTGGTATAAGAATCTCCCATGCAACACTTGGTGTGTTACAGCTCAGCGTCCTCACCTTATGGTGAAAACCGCATGCTGATCAGTATCAACTCATCAGAGGGACCCTGGCCCCAGGTTTGCTTGGGGGCTTCCTGAAAAATGTGCTCCCCACGTGGGTGCTGGAACTTGGGCTCCTGGCGGACCCAGAATAGGGGCTCAGGTATGATGGGGGAGGTTGAGGCTGCATCTGTCTCCCATCTAGTGTGAATATATATGTATATATTTTTAAGAGACAGGGTCTTGTTCTGTCACCCAGCCTGGAGTGCGGTGGCGTCATCATAGCTCAATGCAGCCACCAATTCCTGGGCTCAAGCGATCCTCCTGCCTCAGCCTCCCGAGTAGCTGGGACTACAGGTGCACACCACCATGCCCGGCTAATTGTTTAATCTTTTGTAGAGACTGGGTCTTGCTATGTTGCCCAGGCTAATCTCCAATTCATGGACGGGCTCAAGTGATCCTCCCGCCTCAGCTTCCCAAAGCGCTGGCGTGCCCAGCCAAGAGTGGATGTATTTTATATTTTAGCAACTTGTCCATCTGTACAGTGTTCCTGGAGCCACCAGCCCTGTGCCTGCCCCTCCTTGACCCTCCCTTGGCCCAGTGAGGGTATTTCAGGTCCCTGGCAGGCCACCGGACCAGCAGGCATTTCTTGGGAACTTTTGCTCACAAAGACCCAAAGTTACCGTGACTCTGGAAGCTTCTGGAAAGGTCCTGGGGGTGGAGCAAGGAGGGACAGTTTGCCCGCCTCCTCCAAGGATGCATTGCTTGGGGTCTCTCATCTCCCCCAGCCTTCAGGGAGGCCTGGAGGTACGGGCACAGTCCCCGAATCCCGGGTTCAAATCCCGGCTCTGCCACTGTGAGTTGCGTGAATCTGAGCCCATCGCGTTCTCTGTGCCTGGGGTCCCTCACCTGTAACAGGGCGCCAGTTCCAATGCTAATAATAATAGCAGCTGTCGGGGTTGTTGAGAAGGTCACATGCACATAGTTAGCGCTCGCTTAAGTGATGGCTGGGGCCCCAGACTCCCTCCTGGCCCAGGGGGAGGGCTGAGCGGGAAGCGGAGGTTAATTTTAGGCCTGATGACACCGCCTGGCCGCCCGCCCTGTCCAAACATCCCCAGAGGAGCGTCCCCCACCCCCAACCTCTGACATCCAAGGAGCCTGTTTATTCATTCTTCTCGGCTGGAGCATTCCTTGCCTGCCTGCGCCTGCCGCCCGCCTCTGTCCCGAGCCTCGCTCCACCGCCTCCTGTCACCCCGGGTCAGGACCACCTCACCTGTAGATCCCCAAGACGGCGGCCCGGGGCAGTCCGGGTGGGGGATGGGAAGGGGCAGGCAGGGGGGCGCTCCTGCCGCAGAGTCCGGGGATGTGGAATCTTCCTTTGTAACTTTCCAAGTAGGAGTCCAGGCTTCATTCCATCTGTGCCAGCTCGGGACACTACCGAGCCAGCACCTGCTTACCGAGCACCTAGGGGGCGCCAGGTCGCACTGGGGGACCCAGCCCCCCCCAGGAGCTCCCAGTCTTGGAGGGACACACTGGCACCCCAGGAAACAAACGGGGAAATGGTCAAGTCTGCTGAGCACCGTTCATTCATTCTTTCCTTCCTTCCCTCCCTCCTTCCTTCAGGATGTCATTACTGACCCCCCCTCGGGCGCCGGGCGTTATAAAAGGTGCTCTGGCGTCGGCGGGAAGCAAAACAGACCGAGATCCCTCCCAGAGCTGGCGTTCTTGGCAGGGAGAGGAGGGCGAGAGGCAACAAATTATGTGAACGAGTCAAATGCGCGCTCAGGTTCGACGGCACCGACGGGGCGTGTGGCGGCCGCGACTGGGAGTGAAGTGACTGGAGAGGGGACGTCTGAGCAATCCATGCAGAGGACGAGGGTTTCGGGCAGAGGGAACAGCACGTGCCAAGGTCCTGGGGTACGCAGAGTGAGGTGTCACAAGGGCGGACAGCGGGACCCTGTGGCTTTGCCTCTGAGAGGGGTGGGGGCTCTGGGAGGGTCTTGAGCAGAGAACAGGAGAGACATGGGCTGACATCCTCACAGCCCGCGCCACCCTTGTTCTGAGGTCCCATTCCCAGTGCTGTCGCCCTCCAGGAGGGGGCAGGACCAGGCTGCAGCTGGGCTGGGCGCTGAGTGGCTGCAGGTGGATTCCGGCTGCGCGTGAGGACTTCCGGAACGTTCTGAGAATCTGCGTAAGGGGAAATTGCCGCTCTCCAGAGAACGCAGACGGGGACAGGGCCATGGGAGGGGGCGGGCAGGTTCGAGTGCCTCTTCTCGAAGTGGCATCGCCAGGCGCTTGCGCAGTGCCGGGCCTGGCGCCGGGTTTTTGCTGGTGGAGGGCCAGGTGTCTCAGAAAACGCGAAGACCTCCCCCGAAAAACAAAGCAAGCAAACCTCAGCTTTTCCACCGCCCGGACCCGACAGAGGACCTGACTGTCCTCTTTCTCCCAAAATGCCTTCATTGGCTTTTCTGATCCTAAGGCGGCCACACACGCACTCCACAGAACCTTTCCAGAAAGAGAGAAAGGTCCTTTTGTTCCCCAGCCCTGAGTATTCCCTGGAATTTTCTCTCCCCCGACGCACCTAGACGCTATTGTTGTTTCGCACGCGGTTTTGCAATGGGCTTTTTTCCACTCGACAATAGGTGGCCCCGCAGCTTTTATTTCCAGAAATTGGAAAATGAAGCGTGTCCAGCCTACGCCTCTCCACCCAACACGGGCTGAAATTTAAGCTACGTGAACCCGGCTGGGCCGGGGTGCCAGGGCGGGCAGACCCCGACGTGCCGGGAGCGCGGCGAGGAGAGGCTGGGGGCGGGTGGCACGGGTGCCAGGTTTCTGTCCCCTGCGGCTCCCCTGCTCCCTCCACACTCGGCCCCTGCACCATGCGGACGACCAGGGGGAGCAGGTGCTTACAGTATCACAGGAAGGGAAACTGAGGCCCACAGAGGGCCGGGGGCCCAGGCCTGGAGGTTTCTGCCCCTACCCACTGTTCCGCCCTGCGGGGGGCTGTGCAAAGTCCCTCCGGTGGCCTCGGAAAAACCCTGACATGCCAGGCCTCAGCCTCCCGAAGAGCGAGCCGGCGCTGGCTCCGTCCTGCAGACCGGATGGCCGAGGCCCTGAGGACTGGCCTGACCCGGCCCCGGCCACACAGAGGTCAAGGCCGTTCTCCTGAGCTCTTGGGGTCGAGAGCGCCCAGGTCAGAAGAGCCCTGCTGTCAGCCCAGCCGCATAACCCAGGGGCCGCAGGGGGGTTCCAGCTGTAAATGAGCACTTCCAGAACATTCTGGAACATTGTGGGGTTGGGGGAACTTGTTACTCTGAAGAATGCCAAGGGAGACAGGGTGGTCGGGGTGGAGGGGAACTCCACCTCAGTTTCCCCGTCTGCACGCGGACGTGCGGAGATGGGTGACACCTGGGCGGGAGGGCGAAGGGCCCATGGTGGGGACGGCGCAGGCGTCTGGGGGCCTCTGCCAAGCCCACTGGTGACCCCGAGCCTGCGCCAGCCTCTCGGGGCCCGTCACTCACCTGCCACCCACACCACACACCTGGGCCCCCTCCCCTCCGCCTGGCTGCAAGCCCGGGGTCCCGGGAGGAGGACGGGGACCCTCGGGCCCAGCCCGGGCTTCCCTGCAGGCGCTGAGGGCGGGTCCCAGCGGGCAGGGGTGGGGCACAGGGTGCCCTGTCCCCAACACACGGTGGTTGGCGGTGCTCCCCTCCCGCCCGGGCCCTCTGCCCTCCTCCTGAGCTGCCCGCGCCCCTTGGCCCACAGCCCGGAGGCCCCAGGGGAAGGAACTTTCCAGAGGGCTGGCGGCTCCATCACCACCCAGCCCGGGCCCGGGGAGGCGCTGGGGGTCCGAGAGGGCAGAGACCCCAGCGAGGGGGCCCAGATGACCTCCCTGCACCCACGAGCCGGTCCCAGCTCATCCGGAGCCGGTCAAAGGCCAGCCCTGCGGCTTCTCACTCGGCCCTGGGCCCGGCCCTTTCCCGGGGAGGCCCCACCTCGAACGGCCTGCAGAGCCTCGCCCAGAGAGGTCAGGAAATAGCTCAGGTCGCACAGCGAGTTCAGGCGAGCCCCGACTGTCCGGCCATGGGCTGGGAGCTCCTCTCCGAAACTCCAAAGGCCGAGGCTGGGCTCGGTCCAGCTGCAGGTCCCAAGGCCAGACGGCCTGGATTCAAACCTCAGCTCTCACCAGGCCCTGATCGCCAGGAACAGGATTGGCCCAGGGCGGTGCTCCAGGGGGAGGGACCAGCTCAGAGGACACAAAGAGGGATGGAGGGTGACGGCCAGGTCAGTACGGGCGGTGAGCTGCCGGGGTTGACTTCAGGGCCGGGGCAGGAGCTCGGTTGGCGACAGTGCCAGTGGGGTGATTTGGAGCTGGGGGAGACCGGACCCAGAATCTCTGTCCCCTACCCTGCTCCGTCCCAGGGAGCATCAGAGTCAATTCCGGGCCCTGCGAGTGACAGGACTCGCTGGGCAGGGCGGGTGTGGCCAGAATGGAATAGCAGCCCCTGGTGGCCCCAGGAACCCCCATCGCCAGCGTCCCCTTCGCTCCTATTGGGGCTCAGCCGAAGGTCGGGGCTCAGCGGGGTGACGGCAGCTGACCCGAGGAGCACCGCGGCTGCCGCCAGCCTGGCCGGCCAGCCTCCCGCCGCCCGGGTCACAACTGTGGAGCGTGCAGAGCCCTGTGGCCTCCATTGGAGACCTCCTTTCTCGTTTCTCGCTCCGCCTTCCCTCCTGTCCCGCTCTGCCAGCCTTTCTGTCCTCACGGGGCCACCAGGCCAGCGGGAGAAGGACACAGTGTGGCCTGAGCTAGCTGGGTCTGGTCTGACTTGGGGAGCAGAGGAGCCTCTATCTGGGGAGACTCCCTGGAAGAGGTGTCTGCACTGAGCCCTGAAGGACGGGGGGGAATGACCCGGCAGGCCAAGGGCCCTGGTGTACGAGTGGCCGCGGCCCGGTGCCTCTGAGACTCCAGATGACTTAGGACAAAGGCCGCCCCTCTCGGGCCTTCGGTGTTCACGTCAGCAGGGTGGCTAATGTGACAGATGGAAGGCTTGCCCATCGAGGCCTGGCCGTGGGCCCAGGACACAGTGACAGCCAGACCGGCAGCCCCGTGAGTTAGTTTTTAATAAGTCACCGACGATCCTGCCAGCCAACTCAGAAAAGATGAGTAGATTTAGGTCAAGCTCTTCTGCAAGTGCCCTGCCCTGGGGGACCCCAGCCCCCGCCCAGCCCCCTGCCTCCTAGACCCTCAGATCGGAGAGCTCCAGGCAGCCTCCCAGAAATACTTCTGGATCAGGGAAGTAGTGAGACCTGGAGGCCGGACCTCGGACTGTGTGTTCTCTGCACCCAGGCAGCCTCCTTTTCGCGTTCTCCTTGCCTCTGCTCTGTCCCTGATAGCCTGTCCCCAGCGTGGCCTGGGAGAGCATCTCAGAACACGGGGCAGCATGGTAGGCCCCCTGCTTATAGCTGCCCATGGCTCCCTACTTCCCCGTGCTAAACCCTATCACCGCCCATGGCCAGACGTGGCTGAAGGTGGCCCGGCCTCAGCAGTGGCTCCGCCTCTTCTCCCGCTTGGGAGGACCCAGCTACTGAATTTCCTCTGGTTCTTCCAACGTTCCTGGACCTTTGATGCCTCAGGGCCTTTGCACAGGCTGTTCCTTCCACCTGGAATGCTTTTCCCTTCCCTTCCCTTTTTACTTGGAGAACTCCTGCTAGCGTGTTAGCCTATACACAGCCCAACCTCCAGAAAGCCCAGACGAGGTCACAGTCTTGTCCCCACAAGTCCTGTACCTCGAATTTTAATTGACTGCTCCCTTGCAAAGGTTGGGTACTGTCTCACTGGCCCACTGGCTCCTGGCAGCCTCCCTGGGTCTGCTCTGCAGCAGGTGCACAAAAAGTGTTGGTCGAGGGACTGATTGAGAGCATGGGATCTGCTGGGACGGGAAGGCTGAAAATTGTGGTCACTTTCCGAGTCCCACCTCAAGGAACCCCTGGTGTCTCCCTTTCCCCCAGGAACCCACCTTGAGAAACGGTGGTTTGGGTCAACTGTCTACACAAAGGCATGCACCGTTGCAGCCACAGGGGGGGGGGGGGGGGCGGGGCCAGGGCCGTGACTCAGGCCTGGCCTCCAATTTTTCTGCCCTTTCTAGTCTTACAACGGACATTAAGGGGACCTCGTCATTTGCTTCTGGGCAGTGGCCTAGGGTCAGGACAAAATAGGCCACGGCACCTGATGACAGGTAGGGCGGTTCCAGGCCTATTTCCTTATTCCTTCGTCCACCTAGTCCAGGGCGTGGCATTCTCCCAGCCCAGGGAAGCTGGCTCTGAATTACTCAGCTGCCACTCCCGGCAACCTGTCTGCTGCCACCGGCTCGCCGGTTCCCCAGGTAAGGCCTCTTGGGGCACACTTACCCTGCACCCCAAAATGTGGCAGGGTACCCCTGGGAAAGCCTCTCGGCCTCTCAACTCCATTCCTTCTCTCCTCTGCCCCCCACCCCGTCTGCCGAGGTTCGGGTTGCAGCTGGGCCTGGCATGGAACCCAGGCTGGAGGGTCCAAAGTCTGTGGAATGTTCTGGAACTTGGCCAGCAGACCCTGGGCACGGGCAGGGCTCCTCTTAGGTGCCATGTGAACCAGGGTGGCAGAGGGTACAGGAGGTTCTCGTTTATTGGCCAAACCAGGAGGAACTGGGCACTGGTCCCTCTCATTGGGTTAGAAGCCCCTCCTCGGCCGGGCGCGGTGGCTCACGCCTGGAATCCCAGCACTCTGGGAGGCCGGGGTGGGAGGATCTTTTGAGCTCAGGAGGTCGAGACCAGCCTGAGCAAGAGCGAGACCCTGTCTCTACTAAAAACATGGAAAGAAATTAGCTGGACAACTAAAAATATATAGAAAAAATTAGCCGGGCATGGTGGCGCATGCCTATAGTCCCAGCTACTTGGGAGGCCGAGGTGGGAGGATCGCTTAACCCTTTGCACTCACTTGCTTTTTTCTCATTATCCACTCGACATTATCCACACTCAACATCCGAGTGCAAAGGGTTAAGCCCAGGAGTTTGGGGTTGCTGTGAGCAAGGCTGATGCCACGGCACTCTAGCCCAGGTGACAGAGTGAGACTCTGTCTCAAAAAAATATATAATAATAATAAGCCCCTCCTCCTCTGGGCTCTGTGAGCAGCCCGGATCTCCTCACCCCTCCTGGCCTGGGAAGCTGTCTGCCCCTGCCTTGCCCAGTGGGACAAAGGATAGCAGGGCTTCGCCCAGGCTGGAGTGCAGTGACATCATCACAGCTCACTGCAGCCTTGAACTCCTGGGCTCCAGCGATCCTCCTGCCTCAGCCTCCTGAGTAGCTGGGACTACAGGTGCAGCCACCGATACAGGCTTATTTTTTTATTTTCTGTAGAGACAGGATCTTACTATGTTGCCCAGGCTGGTCTTGAACCCTTGGGCTCAAGCGATCCTCCTGCCTCAGCCTCCCAAAGTGCTGGGAGTACAGGTGTGAGCCACTTCACCCAGCCTGTTTTTTTGGTTTTCTGTTTTCTGATCTTTGTGGCACTTTTCAGTCCTTTTCTACAAAAAAAAAAATATATATATATCTGGTGTTGAACTTAGATGAGAGGTTAGCCCTGACCTTCCATCCCGGATGTTCCCACAATCTCCCCTCCTTAAGGTCACTTTAATGTCTCCTAGAAGGGGCTCCCTATATACCCAGTGTCCACAGGATGTCATAGTATTCATTACATTGATAAATATGATTTTTTTTTGGAAACAGAGTCTCACTCTGTTGCCCTGGCTACAGTGTCATTCGTCAGCCTAGCTCACAGCAACCTCAAACTCCTGGGCTCAAGCGATCCTCCTGCCTCAGCCTCCCGAGTAGCTGGGACTACAGGCATGCGCCACCATGCCCGGCTAATTTTTCTATATATTTTTAGTTGGCCAATAATTTCTTTCTATTTTTAGTAGAGACGGGGTCTCGTCTTTCTCAGGCTGGTTTCGAACTCCTGACCTTGATCGATCCTCCCGCCTGGGCCTCCCAGAGTGCTAGGATTACAGACAGGCGTAAGCTGCGGCGCCAGGCCTAGGCATTTTCATATGCACAATTCTGTGGCATTAAGTCTGTTTACAAAGTTCTGCAATTATCACTCTAATGTATTTCTAGAACTTTCATCACCCAACAGAAACTCTGCACCCATTAGGCAAAAACATCCCATCATTTCTTCCCTTCCTGCCCCCGGTAAACTCTATTCTACTTCCTGTCTCTGTGGATCTGCCTGCTCGTCACACAAACAGAGTCACACACTGTGTGTCCTTCTGTGTCTGGCTTCTGTCACTGAGCACGACGTCCTCAAGGTCCCTCCGTCGTGTAGCCCGTGTGTCTGTGTCAGAGCGATATTCCAGTGTGTGTGGGCCACGTTGGGTTTATCAACTTGTCCACCCAAGGACATGGGGCCATTTCTCCATTTTGGCTACTGTGAGTCAGGCTGCTGTGAGGTGGACATTCCCACCGGTTGGAGTCCCTACTTTTAATTCTTTGAGGTATATACCTAGGAGGGGAGTCACTGGGTGATGTGGAGAGTGTCTCTTCAGCTTTTCAAGGAACCATCAAACTGGCGGGGCACAGTGGCTCAAGCCTGTAATCCCAGCACTTTGGGAGGTTGAGGCAGAAGGATTGCCTGAGACCAGGAGTTTGAGACCAGACTGGGCAACATAGTGAGACCCCGTCTACAAAAATTAAGAAAAAGTATAGGTGGGGCATGGGAGCACATGCCTGTAGTCCCAGCTGCCCGGGAGGCTGAAGCAGGAGGATCTCTTGAGCCAGAAGTTCGAGGCTGCAGTGAGCTATGATGACTGCACTATATAGCCGGGACGACAGAGTGAGACCCTATCTCAAAAAAATAAAATAAAATAAAGGATGCGGGTAAATGTAATTTTAAAGGTGTTTTTTAGCACAGTCATAGCATTGTTAAGAAAAAATAAAAAATAAAATAAAAAATAAAAAAAAATAAAAAAATAAAAATAAAGGTGTTTTTATTCCCCCCAATACATGCAAAGCACTATGTCAATATATAATCACTGCAAAAAATTATAAATGAGCTACTTTTCATTTTTTCTTTCTCACTAAGTCTTGTCAACCCCGTGTGCATTTGCCCCCTAAAGCGTATGTCTGTTTAGGCACTGTATCTTCAACGGCTAGAGTGACACGGAATCCTAGCAAAACAAGACAGCTGCGGTTAGTGGGGGTGGGGGGAGACTTTTTTATGTTCATTTTTTAAATTCGAATTTAGAATTGAAAACCATCCACCCCAGTCCACAAGGGGTGGATCCACCTCACGTCAGGCCCCAAGACAGGTGGCCCAGGTTTCCTTCCTCCTACTCCAGCGTGGGCATCCCAGCCTGTCCTGAAGGTCCCTCTTTCTCGGGTCCCCTAGACCCAGTGCTCACGCCCAGGGTGCCTTGGGTCCTCCCCTGGCTGCCTCGGGGCCCCCAGACCAGCTCCCTGCTGGTCATTCTTAGGACAAGCAGGGCCCTTTGCTTAAAATTTCCAGCTCTGCTGTACTTTACTGTGAGTCACTTGGTCTCACTCTTATCGTCTGTAAAATGGGAATAATAATACTTCCTGTGAGGACTTTTGCCCGTGAACTTTGGAGAGTGTGTTCCTCAGTGACCCTGTCTCCGGTCTCGTCTCTCCCCAGCAACTCTGACCCATGGACCCACCGGGCCGGGCCGGGCGGCAGTGTCCGTGGCGGCCCTGGCTGGCGGGGCTGCTGCTGCAGCTGCTGTTGGCGGTGTGCTTCTTCTCCTACCAGCGTGTGTCCCATGACGGTCGCACCGGGGCCCCTAGGCCAGGGCTCGTCGCACTGGAATCTGTCCCCGAGAGGCCAGCAGGGGCGACGTCCACCACTGGGTCCCGCTGCCAGGCCACGCCAGGGGCCCCTGCCCGCCCGGCCCTCCTCATCCTGCTGTGGACGTGGCCTTTCCACATCCCTGTGTCTCTGTCCCGCTGCTCAGAGATGCTGCCCGGCGCGGCCGACTGCCACCTGACCGCCGACCGCAGCGTGTACCCGCGCGCGCACGGGGTCATCGTGCATCACTGGGATGTCATGTTCAACCCAAAGGCGCAGCTCCCGCGGTCCCCGAGGCCACCGGGGCAGCGCTGGGTCTGGTTCAACATGGAGCCGCCACTCAAAGCCCTGCACCTGCAGGCCATGGACGGGCACTTCAACCTGACCATGTCCTACCGCAGCGACTCCGACATCTTCATGCCCTACGGCTGGCTCGAGCCCTGGCCCGGCCAGCCCGCCCACGCCATGGTCAACCTCTCGGCCAAGACCGAGCTGGCGGCCTGGGTGGTGTCCGGCTGGAGGCCCGACTCGGCCAGGGTGCGCTACTACGAGGCGCTGCGGGCGCACCTGCAGGTGGACGTGTACGGCAAGCAGCACAGGCCGCTGCCCCGCGACGGCATGGCGCGCCAGCTGGCCCGCTACAAGTTCTACCTGGCCTTCGAGAACTCCCGGCACCGCGACTACATCACGGAGAAGCTGTGGCGGAACGCCATGGACGCCTGGGCCGTGCCCGTGGTGCTGGGGCCCAGCCGGGCCAACTACGAGCAATTCCTGCCCCCCGACGCCTTCATCCACGTGGACGACTTCCAGAGCCCCCGAGACCTGGCCCGCTACCTGCAGGCGCTGGACAAGGACCCGGCGCGCTACCTCGCCTACTTCCGCTGGCGCGAGGCGCTGCGGCCGCGCTCCTTCAGCTGGGCGCTGGCCTTCTGCAAGGCCTGCTGGCAGCTGCAGCAGGAGCCCCGGTACCACACGGTGCCCGGCCTGGCCGCCTGGTTCACCTCAGGGGCCTCTGAGCCTGGGGCCTCCTGGCCTGGGACCTCCCCGGCTGGGACCTCCCGGGTTGGGCTGCAGCCAACGGGGGCCTGACCTATCCGGGGCCACACCCACCTGGGACTGCAGCTACCTGGGTCCTAGGCTGCGGGGACCTCACCTGTCTGGGGCTTCCCTTGTTTGCGGACCTAGCTGCCTTAGGGCTCACCTGCTGTGGTCCTGGCTGCTGGAGACCTCAGCCCTTGAGGACTTCATCTGCTGGGCACCCGATACCAGACACCTTGGCCTGTGGGAGGTTACCTGCCGGGAGCCTCACCTGGCTGGGGACCTCCCCACCAGGGCACTCAGCCCCTGGGGACCTGGCTCCCTGGTGTCCCGCCCCCTGGTGATGGTTCCGGCTGCCCCACCTGCTGGGGTCATTGCTGCTATTGGTAACAGCCTGTGACATGTGCAGACAGACAATGTTGTGACCAATTTCCAGAAAAGAATGGTTTGAGTAAAACTTGTGTCCCCCTTACTCTAGAAGAGTGGTTGTCACCACAGGGCAGTTCTGGTCCCCAGGGGACGCTCAGCAATGTCCAGAGACATTTTGGGTTGTCCCACGGGGGAGGGTTTGATGGCACCTGTGGGTAGAGGCGAGGGATGCCCCAGACTCCCGACAGTGCGCAGCGCAGCCCCCACATGGAGGATGGTTTGGCGACAAATGTGCAGAGGTGAGAAAACCCCGCTCTAGACCTTTCTATGGCTCGAGGCAGGTGTTCGGAGCCCTGGGGCCCCTCCTGCCTCGGTCCCCTGGGGTGCGCTCCGCGAGGTGGGGGGACAGGGTGGAGAGGGGCCAGGCTGTCCAGGGGTCAACGTGGGGCAGAGCCAGGACAAGGGACCTTCTGTGCCCGGCGCACAGGGCCAGGCGGGGTGGCCGAGTTGGCTGAGGTGTTCGGGGCAGGGCAGAGGAGGGCAGGTCCCCTGAGCAGGGGGGTGAGGGGGTGTGTGTGTCTGTCAGCGTGGACTCGGTGTGACCGTCACTGTACAGCCGTCATGGAGCACGGCTGTGTGTGACCGCGGGTGTGAGGACCGCCTGCGGCTCTGCGTGCGTGTCCGTGTGTGGCGGTCCCTCCCAGCGAGAGATGGGATGAGCGGCCGGGAGTGTGTCGGGGACGTGGGGCGCTGCAGTGGCCCCTCTGAGAGCGCCAGGCTCTCCGTGTCCACCTGTCTTTCAACTGTGTGACAGGTGCGTGGCTGTGGGTGGACAGAGGTGTGTCGCTGGGTGTGATTTGGGGCGTGTGGCCCTGTGTGTTTGTGGCTGAACAGCACCAAGTGACAAGCAGAGAGAGGCAGGTGCTTAAAATATACAGGAAGGGAAACTGAGGCCCACAGAGGGCCGGGGGGCCCAAGCCTGAGGGTTTCTGCCCCTGCCCACCGTTCCGCCCTGCGGGGGGCTGTGCAAAGTCCCTCCGGTGTCCTGGGGAATAACCTGGACATCCCAGGTCTCCTCAGCCTCCCGAAGAGGGTGCCGGCGCTGGCTCCACCCTGCAGACCAATGGCCGAGGCCCAGAGAGGTGAGCACTTCCAGAACATTCTGGAACATTGTGGGGTTGGGGGAACTTGCTACTCTGAAGAATGCCAAGGGAGACAGGGTGGTCGGGGTGGAGGGGAACTCCACCTCAGTTTCCCTGTCTGCACGCGGACGTGTGGAGATGGGTGACACCTGGGCGGGAGGGCGGAGGGCCCATGGTGGGGACGGCGCGGGCGTCTGGGGGCCTCTGCCAAGCCCACTGGTGACCCCGGGCCTGCGCCAGCCTCTCGGGGCCCGTCACTCACCTGCCACCCACACCACACACCTGGGCCCCCTCCCCTCCGCCTGGCTGCAAGCCCGGGGTCCCGGGAGGCGGACGGGGACCCTCGGGCCGGCCCGGGCTTCCCTGCAGGCGCTGAGGGCGGGTCCCAGCGGGCAGGGGTGGGGCACAGGGTGCCCTGTCCCCAACGCACGGTGGTTGGCGGTGCTCCCCTCCCGCCCTCGGGCCCTCTGCCCTCCTCCTGAGCTGCCCGCGCCCCTTGGCCCACAGCCCGGAGGCCCCAGGGGAAGGAACTTTCCAGGGGGCTGGCGGCTCCATCACCACCCAGCCCGGGCCCGGGGAGGTGCTGGGGGTCCGAGAGGGCAGAGACCCCAGCGAGGGGGCCCAGATGACCTCCCTGCCCCCACGAGCCGGTCCCAGCTCGTCCGGAGCCGGTCAAAGGCCAGCCCTGCGGCTTCTCACTCGGCCCTGGGCCCGGCCCTTTCCCGGGGAGGCCCCACCTCGAACGGCCTGCAGAGCCTCGCCCAGAGAGGTCAGGAAATAGCTCAGGTCGCACAGCGAGTTCAGGCGAGCCCCGACTCTGTCTAGAACGATCACCCTGGCCGGTCCTGCCATGCAGCCTCCCTCTGCCCGCGATGACACCGTGGGGCGGCACAGCCCGTGGCCTCCACTATGGAGCTGCCCTCGGATTCTGGATCTTTAGTACAGTCCAGTCTCTGTCTCCGCCTGCCCTCCTCTCCCGTCCCCCGGCCCCTCTGCCCCACGGGCTGCCAGCGCTGCAGAGGAGCGGCCCGTGAGGCCGGAGCCCCCACGGGGACAGGGGGGCAGCGGTCGGGACACGGGGGCAGCGGTCGGAACCAGAGGGGGATCAGGTCCCGCTCGGGGCAGGGGAGCCTCCATCCAGGGAGGGTCATCGAAAGGGGCGCTGCACTGAACCCCGAAGGATCTCGAGGCGTTAGCCGAGCACGGGGGCGGGCAAGGGCACAGGCGGAGACAGCTGGGGCGTTTGACCTGGAGGGTGACATGGGACAAGCGTCTCCGCTTCTCAGGGTTTCACTTTTCATATCATCGTCCGGGATTTTTTTTTTTTTTTTTTTTGAGACAGAGTCTCACTTTGTTGTCCAGGCTAGAGTGAGTGCCGTGGCGTCAGCCTAGCTCACAGCAACCTCACACTCCTGGGCTCGAGCGATCCTCCCGCCTCGGCCTCCCAGAGAGCTAGGATTACAGGTGTGAGCCACCGCGCCCGGCCTATTTTACTAAGTCCCCAACGATGCCCCCAGTCACGGCAGGAGAGATGAGTGGATTTAGGTCAGCCCCTCCTGCAAGTGCGCTGCGCCGGGGACCCCAGCCCTGCCTCGGCCCTGGCCGGGCACTCGGACAGTGGAGCTCCAGGCAGCGTGAAGGAGCCTCCTGGAAATGATTTCTAGGACAGGCTGGGCCTGTTCTAGAAAAATTAACCTGTTGAGGTGTAGCCTCCGCACCCAGTTTGGGAGTAGCGGAGTTTAGACCCTCAAGCCCGGCTTCCAGATCATTTCTCTGGTCCACCGGAGGAAGCTCGGGTGGGCCCCTGGGCTTCTAGGCTGACCCTCGGGACGGGGCAGGGAAAGGGGGTGGTTTCGAGTCACACGGAGGAGCTTGGTGGGGCCGCCAGCTCAGAGCCTCGGCCATTACCCTGATGCAGACGGCCATTGTCACTGGCCAACACCCCTGTGACCGCCTCCTCTCTTGTACTCTCTTCCTCTGCTCTGTCCCTGGCAGTCCGTCCCCAGGGTGTCCTGAGACAGCATCTCAGAACACGAGGCAGCATGGTAACCCCTCTGCTTATAGCCTCCCATAGCTCCCTACTTCCCGGTGCTCACACCCCGTCGCTGCCTCAGGGCCTTTGCACAGGTTGTTCCCTCTACCTGACATGCGCTTCCCTGCCTGTGTTGGCTGGGGAGCTCCCGCGGGGCCTCAGTCCACAGCTGAACACCCAGGAAGCGCAAAATGGCTCGTTCACTGTGCAATTTTAATTGTTGCTTTTATGACGAGGCCCATGTGCTACCTGACTCACCCACTGGCTCCCTGCATCCTCCCCCAGCCAGGAATCACTCTAGAACCGTTTGCTGATGGACTAACTGAACGAGAAGGTGGGACTGGTGAGGGTGAAGACAGGAAGGTTGAAAGACTCTGCTCCCTTTCTGCTTCGTACCTCCCGCGAACCCCTGGTGGCCCCCCGGGGAACCTGCTTTGAGAAACGGTGGTTTAGGTCAGACTTTTTACTTTATGTCCAAAGCCACGCAGCCCTGAGGCCACCGCTGGAGCCAGAGCCACGACCTTGAAATCCTCACACCCTGTCCAGCTCCACAGTGGGGCTTAGCGGAGCCCCACGATTTGTTTCCGGAGGATGGGCTGGCTCCGGGACAGGACACCCCAGGTCACCTGATGAAAGGTGTGGTGGCCGAACAAAACCCAGCTTCAGCGACAGATACACTTCCTCCTCCTCCTCTTCCACACCCTGCAAAAGCACCCGGGACTCGGTCCTCGGAATCCCCGTGAGCTGTCCGCGGTCCCCTCCCCAGGTAAGGCCTCTTGGGGGACATTTGTCCCCACCCCAGAATGCATGGGGAACCCCCTAGGAAAAACGTCTTGACTCCGTCCCTCCCCTCCTCTGCCCCCACACCAGCTGCTGGGGTTCGGGTCATAGCTGGGCCTGGCACAGAACCCAGGCTGGAGGGTCCACAGGCTGTGGAATGTTCTGGAACTTGGCCAGTGGCCCTAGGCACAGGCAAGGCTCTTTCTTTTGTTGTGAGACACAGTCTTACTTTGTTGCCCAGGCTAGAGTGCCGTGGTGTCAGGTGGGTCAGGACTAAGGCTCACAGCAACCTCCAACTCCTGGTGCTCCAAGCAATCCTCCTGCGCCACCCGCCAGCCTGCCTCCGCCGCAGTAGACTGGGACTACAGGCCATGTGCCACCATGCCCGCTAAAATTTTTCTATTAACCTTTGCTGTCCAAGGTAAGTTTCTTTCTATTTTTAGTAGAGGACCGTGTTCTCGCTCTTGCTCAGCGCTGGTCATTGAACTCCTGAGCCATCTGAGGCGATCTCCCTGCCCTGGCCGTCAGCTCCAGAGTGCCTGAGGATTACAGGCGTGGGCCACCACGCCCCAAAGCAGGGAACGCTCTATTTTGCTAAGTGCCCTCTTGGGCCAGGGTGGTGGGGGGTACGGGAGGTTCCTGCGTTTATTTAGCTTGACTGACAGCCAAGAACTGGAAGCGATGGTCTATCTCGTTGGCTTGGCCAGCCCCTCCTCTCTGGGCTCCATGAGCGGCCTGGATCTCCTCTCCCCTGGCCTGGGAAGCTGCCTGCCCCTGCCTTGCCCAGTGGGAAAAGTGGACTAGGATGCAGATTTTTGTTCATTTATTTATTTTTGGAGACGAGGTCTTTCTCTGTTGCCCAAGCTGGATTGCATTGGAGTCATCAGAGCTCACTGCAGCCTCCAACTCCTGAGCTCAAGCGATCCTCCTGCTTCAGCCTCCCGAGTAGCTGGGACCACAGATGCAGCCACCAGGACTGGCTAAATTTTTTTATTTTTCATAGAGATGGCATCTCACTATGTTGCCCAGGCTGGTCTTGAACCCCTGGCTCAAGGGGTCCTCCCACCTCTGCCTCCCAAAGCGTTGTGATTATAGGTGTGAGCCACCACGCCCGGGTGCCTGGCCTGTTTTTTGTTGTTGTTGTTGTTG